CCCTTTCTGCGCCCCGTTCCGAAGGGAGCGGCTCGCTTTGGCGCAAACCCGGGGGGGCGGCAAGCGTGCGGGTCCTCAGTCCGCGGATCTCTGTGGACGTGACCTCCCCGACTTCACCGCTCCACAGCTAATCCGGGATGCAAATATTTGCACGGTCGGGGTCTCTAGCAGCGCTGAGCAGCGCTCAGACCTTTTCCCCCCGGCCTTTATCACCTTTGCACCTCGCTCCGTCCGCGCGGAGCCCTGCCCTCGCGGAGGTGCTGCCGCCCGCATCAGCCGTCCCGCTTTCCTCCCCCGGCTCAGCGCTCCGAGGGAAATGCCCCCGGCGGCTGCGGCCCGACGCCGGCCAAGCCCCGCAGATCGCCTCGGGCGGGGGGCCGGCTGGCGCGCGCCGGACGTTTCGCTCGCATCTCGCCGCGAGCGAAGCGTTTCAGAGGTCGGGTGAGGCTGCGCTCTCGACTCTGCCTTTCTACACAGCCCCGGACGGGTACGCGCGAGGGGACGAGGGAACCTTTCTCGAGCACGGTCGAGGTGCTGCCTCCCCTGCTCCCCTGCCCGTGCGGGGAAGCTGCTCGCCCCTCGCTGCGCTGTTCTCCTCGCGGCCCCACCGGACCGTCTCGACCCCCGTGGCCGCGAGCCGCCCGCTGGGCGAGCCCGGAGCCGCCGCCTCGGCGCACCTGCCCGGCGGGCAACGCGAGCGGCGAGAGCCGGATGGTCTCGGGCTCTGCCCCGTCTCCACAGAGCCGCCGTCCCGCTGCCTGCCCCGGGACAGTGCTGCGAAAAGGAAATGCGCCGAGCGAGATGCTGGGCTCCTTCCTCCGAGGGAGGAACGGGGGAGTGTAGGTGCTCGAGAAAGGGACGGTGACACCGGCAGAGCCTCGCGTCGCGACACATCGCGGTGGCTGCTGTTAGAGAGCTCGTGAGGTGGCTCAGGCTCCAGAGTACAAACGTGTTCCCGACCGGCAGGATTCGAAACTGAATCTAACTCTTGTGAAGATAAGGCAGGATTTCGTGTCACGGGCATTGCTCAGATTCAATTTAAATCTCCTGTTCCAGTAAAAAGCCACACGCTTCCCCAGACGCTGGAAAATCCCTCATTAAAGTCTTTGGCCAAAAGGGAATTGCATTTTGTATACTCTTAGGCAAACAGTGCTGAAAGAATGCTACTTGGTTTAGGAATAACAGTAATCCAAGTCACGTGTGAGTGCCACGCTGATTACAATACCATTGTAGTGACACAAAGACAGCTCATTCAACCTCTCGTGGTGGCAGACGTGGGCACAGAACGATCAGGCAAGAAACGATTATCTTGTGCGAGAGCTCCGGCAGGTACAGGTTTCAGAGCTAACACAAACCACGTCTTCCATTCGGGTGCTCGTTTTGTCTTTCCTAAGTCCTTGCGGTCCTACACGGCTTGAAAATGAGCAGTAGGCACTGACAACTTGTGCTGCGAGGTAGCAGCGGGGTCTGCTTTGTAAAAATAACTTTGAAAAGAGTTATTTACATTTAAAAAACAATCATACAAAAACAAAAACACAACTCACTCAGAACGGTCCGTGCAAATATTTTTTATTCTGAGGCACACAGTTTAGCAAGTCCGGGCTCTTCTCAGAAGGGTCGGCTCTCCTCCAGATGCTGCCTTATGGGGAAGCCGAGCTCGAGGGACACCTGGCTTTACTGATTAGCTTGGGCACAGCATTCATCCTCTCCGTGTTGCCATATGTACAGACTTCACAGCATGTACCTGCTTCTGTAAACAGGTTTTGAAGATCGGTTGCTCTTTTGTACAGCATTTTATTCGTGCTATGTTTTATTCCAAAAGGAAAGGTCTAAAATCTGTGGGCATCTGCTGGAAATCAGTTTGAGACAAATACTCTCTGCTGATTACAGAAGAAAAAAAAAATGTTACTTGAAGCCAATGGGAGTGCTTTTGTATGTTTCAGCTCAGGTTGATTCAAACTTTACTGAATTCATATGCAGTGAGTATGACTGTACAGGATTGTACCTCAGGCTGTATGAGATGAGCACAAAGACGGTACTAACAGAAGAATGGCATCCTATGAAGGGTGTAAAAACCAGTCAAGTTCCACACACAAAAAGGCCTTACTGATGGTGCACCTTAGGGCACCTTAGTCAGCTTTATCTGTGCCAAGGGACAATTCCATCTCCAGTAGTCAGACTGGAGACGTGATGATCTTGGTGAGCCTTATGTCTGATAGTTTTGAGCCAACAGCAAACGAAGCCTGCTAAATGAGAGTGGGATGCATACTGATAGGGGAAAGCTGCTTGAGGTCGTGGCTGCTCTCCTGTTCTGGCAAGAGGTGCCAGAAAACTGTTGGGTGACACTGGATGATGGGACTGCAGGCTGAAGGTGACCTTTGTATTTCCTGGAGGAGCTCACTGTAGAAGGTATTCTGAACCTTCACATCCTTTTGGTGCAACATTGTCACTTGTGTGCTTTCTGTTTCCTGGGGGGCTACTGCCTCACAGTTCCTCCCCCAGGATAAATAAGGCAGCTGCCTACTGGGTCCTTCTGGGAACCTAGGCCTTGGTGGCTACCCACAGAAGCTGCTCTGGGAGCCCCTTCATAGCCTGGTTGGAGCAAGGCTACTCTGCTGGAACACAGGGAATTTTGTTTTTAGTGATCTGGATAAAAGTTCAGTTTGCTTTGCATTAGACTTTAGGCGAGCAAACAATGCCTGTTTCACTTCCTCATTTGTCCTATAAGAGTATTAGATCGCTCTCTACCGAAGGAAAGTTAAGGAAGTAAGCTATGGATGATTGAATCCTATTGGAGTCCAGGCAGGTACACAGCCAGATAGCTGTGCTCAGACCCAGAAGAACTGTGCCCTTCTTGTCACCAGTACCTAAGACGTGATTCTTCTTGGGACATGCTTTACAGACTGACCAAACTTTGGTTGTTTTGGTCAAGGTGGAATGAAGAACAAGACCATCCAGGGGTGCTAGTAGTACCAGGGACTTGGCAAGCAACACTTCTTGATTCAGATTTGGGAAAAGTGTTAGGTGATATTCTCCTGTCATAGGCTGGATTAAAACAGAAGTGAGACTTAAGTACTGAGATTTGTTGTTACACATTGAACTTTTCTAAGGGTGCAGATACGATAACCCTAGGGTCCTGTTTGAGCTCCATTAGACAATTTCTTAGCATCTCTGAACTGTTCCTTCGGATTTAGCTATGTACAACATTATCCTAAACTGCTGCATGCCCTGGCTTCATGCTGTTGAGCAGTTGCAGCATCCACTGCCACTGTACTGAGCCTTATCCTTGTCCTTCATGCAGGACAAGCCACTCACGTGTGGCTTCATTAAGATTTGCAGTCCTTTTTTGCCACTTCAGGAATGCTTTAATCAAAAAAATCTGAATGCTTTGAAAGCAACTCTGGGACTTTCAGTCATTACTTCAGGATCCTGATCCATAAAGTCAATGTGTCACTCAAGAAAGGGAATCCCTCTAGCTCCTATCTAATTCAAGAACTGATTGACTCCATTGCATGCATCTCAAAAGATATTTTAATTGTTTTCATTGCATATTATGGTTTTTTTTGTTTTGTATTTACTCCCAGTGTCAGCAGGTGCTTTTATTAGGTGTCTTTCTGGGATCTGATTTAAGAACATTAAGCTGTGAAGCTGAGTTCTCCAGGACTGCAGCCCTTCCCTGAAGAGGTACAAGTAAAAACGCTCAGTTTTCAAGGCTTCCTGACCGATTTGTGCCTGGGTTATCAGCAAAGCATTGCACTGTAATGGTGTCTTGGCTACATAAGAGGTGTGAGTACTTATTGCATGCTCGAAACAAACAAACTTCTCTGTGACACTGCTAATGACTGTTTGCTGGATCCTCCGGGACGGTGGATGGCCAGGAGCGAATTCCATGAACTTGCTGCATTTCCACGTGCACCACGACTGCAGCAGCTCCTCGCTGTAGTGGAACCGACGTCCTTCGCATTGTTTGTTCACTCTGTGCTGTCAAACAGGACATACGTGGGACCTTATCGTACCGTTTTGGCAGGCTGTCCGCCAGTTAGTGCCGACAGACATCCATTTATCAGCCGCGTCTCTGAGACAAACCGGCCGACCGGGCTTTCGAGAGTAACAGTCCAAACGGTGCCGGCGTGGTCCGTGCGTTACGAATAGAAGTCGGGCATCCGCTCAGCGCTCGACGCACCGCCAGGCCCGCAGGCAGCGCCGGCTGGAGGCCGGGCGGCGACGGGGCACGGCGTGAGAACCTGCTCGGGGCTCGCTTTGCCCCCGCACGGTGGCGGGTGCGGGCAGCAGAGGGGTCACGGCGAGGGACAGCCGAAATCCCACCCCGGCCCTCTGTCGCCTGAAGGGCGCCCGCCGGGCACCGCCCGCGAGCCGCGCCACGCCGCCGGGGCCGTGTCACGGCAGCGCCATGTTCCGCGCATCCCTGGCGGGACGGAAACAGGAAACCTCCTGGAAGCGCGAGCCCGCAGCCCCGGGGCAGCGCTCGCCGCCGGGTTTATACAGCACGGGAGATGCGGTGTCACGAGCCCGTCCGCGGCTCCTCTCGGGAAAGGCCCCCTAGGGAGCGGCAGTGCGGGACGGGCTCCGGGAGGCGAGCCGCTCCGCTCCGCCGCTTGCTTTCAGGCAGCACTCGGGGGGCACCGCCGCGGCGCGAGCCCGCTCCGCCAGGGTCCGAGTAGATCGCGGCGCAGCCCCGAGCCCGGGGGTGGGCGCCTCGCCGGGCGGAGCGCTCGAGCCGCGCCGAGCGGACAAAGCCCGCCGCGGGCAGCAGGGCGGGCGCGAGGCGAAGCTTCGAAGCGCAGGCGGCGGGAGCCCCGAGCCCTGAGGCGGCCGCCGCTTGCCGCTCGCCCCTCGCCCGGCCCAGGGCAGCGCGGGGCCGTAGCCGCGTGCCGCCCGCAGCCCACGCCCAGCCCGGCGGGGTCACGGCGCAGCGGCTCGGCGGCGCGCAGGCGCACGGCGCGCCGCGCCTCCAACATGGCTGAGGTGGTGCCGCTTCTTCTGCGGCGGGCGAGCGGCGGAGGATGCTGAGCCTCCCGGGAGCCGCCGCCGCAACAGGGGTGGTGAGGCCAGAGGCGCGCCCCTCGCAGCCATGGCCAGGCTGGCCGACTACTTCATCGTGGTGGGCTATGACCACGAGAAGACAGGTAGGTGTGGCCGCGCGCAGGGCTCCGCGGTGCCTGGCCTCTTCCCCCCTCCCCTCGCTCCTGCCCGGCCCCGGCCCCCCTCCCGCCTCCGGTCGGGAGCCGCGGGAGGAGGAGACTCCTCACGCGCCGCGCCGCTGGAGGGGGCGGCCTCGCCCCGCGGGGCTCTGTGGTCCGACGGGGCGCGGGAGGGGTCGGCGCCCCTTCGCGGGGCGGAGCGGCCCGGGGGAGCGGAGGGGCCGTACCCTGGGCCGGGCTTCTGCCGGCGGGAAGGCAGCCGCGGCGCTGCCCACCTGGCCGAGCCCCGCGTTAAGGCGCGCCTCGCGGCCTCGGCCCGCCGGCGGCTGCGGAGGCTCCTTCGGGAAAGCGCGGAACGTGCGGGGCGGCCCCGCGGAGCCGCGGGCCCCGTCCCGCCGAGCCGGAGGAGCGGGCCTGCCAGGCTCCCTGCGGGGCTGCGGCTCTAACTGCTGCTAACCCCGGCCTGCTTTGTGCTGAGCGCTACCACGCGTGCACACGCAGCCTCCGAGGGACGTTGCGGGCCGGCCGGGCTTTTCGCCACGTGTTACTGGGGCGTGCGGCATACCAGTAATTAAGAAGGGCCGTCGCTGAGCTCGGGAAGTGCTGTGGCGCTCTTTAGGAACGGGTGCCTGTCTTAGAAAATCGTTGTGGTTTTTACCTGCTTTGATGAAAGGGAAGCGGTGCTTTCTGTTATCGTTTTGCGGGTAGTTTCTGTTGTGTTTGTGTTACCATAATGTCACGTTTTGACATCTCAAGCTGGGTATATAAACCGATTTGCAAATGATCTGATTGTCAGCTGGTGCATCTGTGTGCTTCAAGTGATCCTTTGAATGTACAGCATCAATAAAGCAGTGTTTTAAAGGGTCCTGTATTTTATTTGGCTGTGCATCAAACACAAGTTGGTTACTCTAAGTGATTCTCTGAAGTCGCGACTGCTCTGAGTCTGCATTCATTCACTGTGAAGTAGTGGGAAATCAATTATTGGAGTAAGATCTCTTCATCTTTTAGGAACGATAACATCTAGAGAAAGTGTGATAGTTGTCCTTAAAGATGCAGTAGCTCACAAAATTCCACCAAGGTTCTCCTCGACTGTGCTGTACCAGCATGATTCTTCCTTCAATTATGGCTTGGTTTCCCCTCTGCTCACTTTGGAAATAAACCTGTCTGAACTGTAGAGGCAAAATCATGGGAAGTTTGGTATGGAGAATTTTGTTAAAGAAGATGGTCTGCTCTCACCCTCTGGGAGCATTTTGCAACATTCTCCCCTGCAGTAATAGAGAGTCCAAGTCTAAACTAATAACCAAAAAATCCAAGGGTGCTTACAAGTTGGAGACAAAGCAAGCAAGCTGCCTTCCTAAAGGTTATGACTGATCTGATGTAGCCACTGTGTGATATAAAGTTGCAAATTACATTGGGAAGCCTCATGTTTGTAAAACGTTTTCATCTGTAGCCTTTAAGCATGTGTTTAGCTTCCTGTGCATAAATTGTTTCATTAAGATTATTACAATTGCTCCTTTGTATGAAGTTGTAGGTATCCAAACATAACTCCAGAATCTTAATTTTAAAAGTTCATGCTTAGAAAGTAACTATTTAGACTTCATTATGTAGATTACTTCTTGTTACTTTAATGCTTTGTACTAAAAATGCTTGAAGAAACAACGTTCTATTGGAGACTAGGCATGCACTGTTTTCCAAATTCCTTTACCCCCACGTGCAGGCCCATAATACATGGAGTACTGACCTTTATTTTTTCTTTTGAATGCATAGTTTACTTGATGCGTTTATGCTTCCTTGTTCATGAAAAAGCAGAGGGAAGCATTTCATGGATTCTAGACTTATTACCTGTGAAGCTCTGAAGTTTTGTTTTTGTTTTTCTTTCCTCCCCTCATATCTTTTGCAGTGTTCTGGCCCTGTTTGAATGCACTTGATTTGAATGTTGAGTATGATTACATCTTACACTGTTTTTCAGGGATAATCTCGGGAATGTCTTTGTATAAGCAAGCAAACAAAAATCCTTCTTTCTTCCTCGACCTGTATGGCAGCAGCAGTTTGGATAATATGCACTTGAATTTAATAAGGAAGGATGTTTATATTAACAACTGCTATGCCAAAAAAGCTCTCCTTCCTCTGCTGTCTGTCTTTCTATAGCAGCCGTCATCTGTCCCAACTTCGTGTGCACTGAACACTCATTTACATCTGCCAGTATCTGCAGTACTCTGAAAATGCAGTGAAGGGATACTGCTTTCTTGGATAGATTATCTGGCTTTATTCAAAAACATTCACTATACTTACTGAAATATCTCGTGCAGTTTAGGAGCATGTTTCTATGTTTTCCTGTTGCAGGAGAACTTTGATTTTGATGTTAACAGTCCCTATCCTAAACAATAGAAGAATTTCTTTTTTCTTCAGATAAACTGAAAGGAGTATCCTGTGAGGATCCATGTCTCAAACATTCTGAAGTTCATTTCTATTATCCTCTGCATCCACGTAAATTGTTATTACTGCAATCCTAGTGTTGCCATCCCTGTTGTGTTAAATCTTACCTTCATTTGTTAACACTGTTGGGCCTTCTGATGACGTGCTTTAGAATGCCGACCTGTCAAAAAGAGCCGTTTTGCTAGATATTTTGCCTGTTTTTTTCCCTTTTGTGTCTGGGTTATTCTTCTATTTTATTTCATTTTTTTAACTGAGTTGGCTCACCAGGGTAACAAGGAGTGCAGGATCAGCATAAAGGAGGAGTATAAGTCAGCCTGAATTTTGATCAACTTGAATTGTCGTGGGACCCTGAGCACAAAGCTGACAGCCAGGTACCTCAGCTTCCTTACTTTGGAAGAAGCACTGGTTGCCTTAGAGCAGGTCTGGTCACAGGCAGATTATTCAGGTCTGTCAAGATGCACAGAGATTCATCTCGAGTGCAGAATGAGCTTTGCCATCTACCACCCAATAGTCGGTAGGCTTCCAGGCACACAGAAAGTTAAGGACAAATCTTTTCCACAAAACGTGATCTATTTCATCTAGGTTTCTATCTGTTTCAGACACAGTTGACAATGTTTCCATTTAAAAACTACTTTGTATCTTTCACCATGAAAATCAGCCAGTTGCTGCTGTGTATTTCAAGAATGCATTTGGAAACGCTGCAAAGAATTGGATGGCAGTAGCTGCTGTCGCAGCTTTTTCTTCAGTGTCTTGACAGAGCTGGAGAAACTGTGTTTAGTAAATCTTTCCTACTGATTTTAACAGTGGTGATGTGAGGGATTTCAGTGATACACCAAGGTCGATCGCTTTACTGTGTTTACTTTGCATTCACCTGGACCTTTGCTAAGGTAGATAATGACATTTGTCTCCAACGTATGCTCAATATAAAGCTGTTATGTAACTTGACAGTGAAGGCATTTACAGAAGGCTGTTTGAAGGGAAGAGAGGTGCTAGAAAATGTCAGCCCTGGATTAAAAGCAAGACAAGATCTGGAAGATGTGACCGTATATCCATTTTCTTTCTCCATGGAGTTTGAAGTGTTTCACCAAAAATTCCCAATTAATATGTTTGCATAACAGAGTTGGATGGAATTTAGGAAGAATACAGATGTTTGCAGAAATCACAGAAGGGCATGAGAAAATGCCCTTCTGTTTAGTTTGGTCTTGTTTTTGCTGGTAAAAACCATAGTCATAAATTTATCGCTTGAGTTTACATGTGGTGCTACATGAAAAAGGTAAAAGAGCCAATGTTTTATCTTCTTTGCTCAGGAGCTGGAAGGTAAGGTTAAAGAAGAGAAAACTAAATACTGAATTTGTTTATTCTGCCTGCACACCCATAGTGGTTTTGATATAGGAAGCTGTTGTGTACTCAGCAGTTAGCTGTGAAATCCTGTGAGAGAGTGGGAGAAAATGTTTTCTGTGAGACTTGGTCGCAGTAGGAAGAGAGCCTGTGCTTTTTGTCCTTGCTGTATGTAATTATAGTGTGTATGACAGAAGGTGCGAGGCTTGTAAAAGTATAGCAGTTTTATTTGCCTGTTGTCATAACTGATAAATGCTGATTTAATGTGTAGGCTCTGTTGTGGGTGTTCCTGTTATAATTTTTATCAACTTTTCAGGGAAGCATTTCGTGTCTTGCGTCGTCTCCTATCTTAGTGGATTTTGAAAGTAGACAAGTGGTTACTGATAGAGTGGGATAAATTCCTAAACAGAGTCATCAGTTTGGTGACTTTTTTTTTCCTGTAGGCAGACTTACTTCCCCTGAGGGAATATTCCTTTCATGCTAATATGCTAAGATTTTGAGGGGTATTGTATATTCATAGTTGGGCATTCTTGTGGGTTAGCACGTATTTAAGGAGGGGATGATTTCTTGGGATCTTGTTATGCAGTCTTTGTAAAACAGAAGAAGTAGAAAAATAAGGGCATCAGTGGCTTTCTTACCTGTGTTGGGACTTAATTTGGTTCAAGTGCAGTCTTGATCTGAACGTGCCAATCTCCGAGTGGGAAAAGGACCATGAAAACTAGGTTCTTCCATTCTGGGGCAAACAAATTCTTTTTGTAATTGTACTTCAGTGAAGCATCAAGTGTGCTATTGGAACTGAGTTGGAATGCAGATGTGTGCATGTCTTTGTGTTGGTAGGAGGTTACTGTAGTGGGATATGACTGAAGAAGGAAGGATGTGAGTGCCCTAAACATTTCTTAAGCAAATCAGTTGCTCTAGTGTAAGAAATTGTATCTTGTGACTTTGTTTTTGCTTGGGTTATTCTTTCAGTCCTACTTTCAGTCTCCACTACACTATAGTGAAATGCAATGAGAAAAGCACTTTCCCGTTACATGTGGCTGCCTTTTCTTTCTTTCTTTCTTTCTTTTTTTAATTGTGAGATAAAGCTAACATGAAAAACTACTTGCAGGGAAAAAGCTCATTTTTTTTTTCTGGTAGCATTTCTTTACTGAATCTATTCAGCCTATTCTGATATATAACTAAAAAGTTGGACTCTTGTTTTGAATTATAGA